GCCTATCTGGTTGATGCCTAGTATTAAACACTAAAGAAAATGGATTTTCTTACAAAATCCTTTCGACTAATAATCTATCTTTTGGGGGCCAGCCAGATAGCTCAGCAGACTAAAGCTCCTGCTTAAGCAGAGCACAGCGGCTGGGCTTCGATCCCTGGGGTGCCATGCTGGCCCGCCTCTGGATCGCACTAAGATGGTGAATGAGACTGGGCATGGTGGCACGCACCTATAATCCTAGTGCTTGGGAGGCTGAAAACAGGAGAATCACTATGATCCAATCTACATATTGAGACCTTGTAGACCCTGAATACTAAATACATAAATAATAATAATAATAATAATAATTTATCTTTTGGAATTTCGAATTTCTCACACAATGCCTTACTTTAAAAAAATAAAATAAAAATTTAGGGCCCACAAAGGAAAAGGAAGTCCCTTGGCTTTAGTTAGATATCCTCCCCAACTACAATGGGATACAAAAGACAGTGCCAGTGATCTTCCTTACACTCCTGTGTCTCCTGTAGCTGCAGTCAGCTAATGTCAGCATTGAAACTTGTTATTACATGAGAATTTCATTGACTGGAAAAGATTTGCACTCCCTAGCAATCTGCATAACTACAGCACTTCACTAAGAAGAGCTGCCACTGTTTGCAATAGTTGTCTTAAACACAATGGTTAAAATATTACAGTATGTTGCCTAGAATTTTAAAAGGGAAGGACAGGAATTAGATCAACAGATGGCAGGTAGCAGATTTGGCTCCTGATGGATGTGTCCAAACAAGAGTTATGTGTCTCAGAAAGAGCTGTATTCTAGGACTGACAGGTGGATCGTGACCCCGTCCGTCACAGCGGCTTCTGGCGCCCACTCCCCTCCCCACTCATGTCCCAGCAAGCATGAGACCCTCCTCTCTCCGCTCCCTCCCTCCGTCTCTGTCTCTGTCTCTGTTTCTGTCTCTCTCTCTCTCCCCCGCTTCCCTTTTTCCCTCTCCTTAGCATTCTTCCCTCACTCCCTTCTTCCCTACTCTCCTTTATTTTCTCTGCCTCTCATCTTCTTCTGTTTTCATCTTTTCTTCTCTAACTTCACACCTGATTATACCAATACTAATCATATTTTTTCTGACTGCCATAGAACAGGAACCTTACTAAAGAGTCATTAAATCCTACACTTTGCAAAGCAAAAGTATATAACATATATAGAAACATTTACATAGACACATATTAATACATGTAATCCTACAGAAATATCATCTATCAATACAAGTCTCAGAACCATATTTAAAATGTAACGAAAGGACGGAATGCGGAAGAAAAGAAGAATCAAGATACATCA